GCTGTGGGCTAAACCGCTGACACCATGAGCCAAAATAAACATTTCCTCCTTTGAAGTTGTTTATCTCAGGCGTTTGGTCACGGTGACAGAAAGCTAACAGGGAATATATCTAAAGTTATAATGAACTCCAAAGGAGGCTGTGTAAATTTAGTCATAGAAATGCAAATATTGACTCTCTTTCTGGAACCTTCAGTACACTCCAAAAATAATCTTACATGGTGAAAGGGTAATTCACAGCTAGAGGAGGCACCCCTCGATGGACAGAGATCTGCTTCCATATGATCACTCTCCCTCAACGTGTAATTGCTGTGAGGAAAGGGACGCTCCTCTGTGTTTTTAGGTATTGAGCTCTGAATCCATTGAGAGAGATAATGGAGCTGGCCGGACAAATGTAAAATGTCATCATCATTATAGAGGCTAGGGTGAAGGATGTGGCCTAGATGTACAGCCACAGTGGACTTCCCGGGTACAAACCCCAGTGGTGGAGAGGCTTTGGCTCCTGTGTATAGGCCGAGTGAGAAAACCACAGCCTCCTACACCCGAGGAGACTTACTGCTGAGCTTCCTTCCACATGCCCAAAAGCAAAGCAGCATATGCTCCCCACATGAAGGCTGATCCCAAGGAAGAAGAGTCAGAGTGAACTTCAAAGGCTGCAGTTCCTTTCCATCTGAGTCCCTGGGGACATACTAGAGGCCAGGGTGTTAACTAATGGGCATGAAATGAGACAGGAAGGGAATAGATGCTCTACCTCAGTGCTGTTGAGTGGTAGAGCCATGGGCACCCATTCATGCTCCAAAATGCTTGTCTGTGGTGGCATTCTGTCATGCCTTTCTATCTTTCTTTTTCTTTAACTGTGATTAGAAAAAACATATTACATAAAATTTATCGTCTTAATCATGTTTAAGTATGCAAGTGAATGGGCAAATGTAGTAGTAAATGTATGCACATAGCTACACAGCAGATCTAGAACTTTTTCATCTTGCAACACTGAATTCTATTCCACTCTGCACCACTTCCCTCTCTTCACTCTCTCCAGCTCTTGCCCATCTGTTCTACTTTGTTTCTATAGTTTTGACTACTTCAGATACTTCTTGTGAGTGAAACAGTACAGTATTTGCCCTTTGTTGACTGGCTTATTTAGCTTGCATATGTCAGGTTTGAGGTTTGTCCCTGTTGTAACAGGATTAACTTTTTCAAAGTTTGCCTTTTCCATGTGGGTAGACCCACACTTTATCCACTCATTTCTTGGTAGACATTTGAATTGCTTCTACTTCTTGAATATTATGAATTATGTTGCAAAAGAGCATGGATATACAATTATAATTATCTCTTTTAAATTTTTTGGTTATGTATTCAGAAGTAGAATCGTGGAATCATATGATGATTCTGCTTTTAATTTAGGGGGAAATTTCCTTAATGTTTATTCCCCCCAATAATGCACATGGATTCCAGTTTCCCCACCACCTCACCGTTGCTTGTTATTTTCTACTTAATAGTGGTCATGCTCACTGGTGTGAGATAGCTCATTGTGACTTTGATTTGCATTTCTCTGATGATCTATGACGTTCAGAATGTTTTCATACATTTGTTGGATATTTGTGTATTTTCTTTGTCTATTCAGTTGCCTTTTGTTGTTGTTGTTTGGTTTTGTTTTGCTTTTGTGTTTTGAATTTGTCTGTTTTTTTTTTTTTTCCCCCCAGTGCTGTTTGGGATAGAACCCAGGGCTTGGGCCTGCTAGACAGGCACTCTACCACTGAACTCCACCCCAGCCCTAAATGCCTATTTTTTAAATCAGGTTATCCGATATTCTTTTGTTGTTTTTGTTGAGTTGTAGAAGTTCTTTAGATATGTTTGATGTTAACCTCTTGTCAGATACGTGTTTTGAGAGTACTTTCTCCCCATAAGTCATGTGTTCACTCTGTTGATTGTTCCTTTGACAACTCTTTTTATGCTACTAGCACCCAACAATTTCACAACTAAGGAATCCTTTGGCTTATTTTTCCTCCCATCACCCTCACATTTTGAAAGAAGTCTGTCTTCCAAATATTTATTAAGTCATAATTCATTTCAAAGAGTCAAAATGATATTGCACATTTCCTCATATTAAAACTGTGACAAGCTAATGAAACTGTCAAATTCCTTTGTTTATATCTGTACTTACATCATTCACTGAGCTAGTAACTTGATGGGTCAAAATAGAAAGAAATGAAAAGGAAAGGTGATATCCTACCATTTAAATTCCATTATCTCTAAAATATCATTTTGCAGTGACTAGTGGATTCAATTGTTATTCATCTTTCTTTTCTGATGAATGCTTAAGTTACATGAAATAGGTTTTCTTTACCATAAATGTCTGTAGATCTTTTTTGAAATAGAATAATTCTTTGTTTTATTATAATAAATTTAAACCATGAGAATATATATGGTAGAATAAACTTCCAGTGATCACTTGTCACCTCACATTATTTATTTATTTGTCTATCTTCACAGTGCTGGGGGTTGAACCCAAGACCTCATGGCATGCTAGACAAGCACTCTACCCCCGAGCGCACCACAGCTCCATCTGTTATTAATCACTCAGTGTATGTCACACCCAGCTGTGAAATGTGGGGGAAAAAAATACACCAATTGGCATAGCTCTTACTCCTAAGGGTCTTGGTCTTATTCCCCAGGCAAGAACACACCTAAACTACCAGTGGCAGAAAAATTAAATAAGAGCATTGCTTATTTATATGCTTGCCATGGAATCTGAAAGAAGCCTGCTGTAGAAATTCTTTGCCAAATTCAATAAGTTTGTATTCTCAAAATCTATTATGAACTGGCATTATACTAGAATTAAACAGTATACTCTTGGGATGTCATTAGACTGGGAAGACAAATTATTGGCTCATCGTCTATACTTAAATCATGTCTTCTGCTCAGCCTGTGGATCACACTGTCAGAATAATGTGCTTTGGTTTGTATAGACTTACAATGTTGATGAAACTGTGAGAACAGAAATGAGAAATGGTAGTTTAGTATATTTTTTATTACCAAAGAGACAAGATGAGTCAAGTCTACAGAAAGCTTCATCATCATCTTTTCCAATAAAAGTCCATTTTCACATTGAGGATATGAGTGATATTAAGAGCTCAGAATGGAACCAACACAAGGAAAGGGATCAGGTATTTAGTATTTAAAATTAAGTTATTATGTTGTAATTCTACAACATGTACAACCAGTAGAATGAGAAGTTATGCTCCATTTATGTATGATGTGTCAAATGCATTCTATTGTCATGTGTAACTAATTAGAACACATAAAAAAAGAAAAAAAAATGAAAGTATTAACAAATTAAATGCCTATTAGAGATTATCTGTTTTCAAGAAAGAACAATTTTATTTCACTTAATTAATTCCACAAATGCTGTATTGTTAAAAGAAGAAAAGGAGTTGTTTGTGAGACACACTTCCCTACTCAGAGCTCATTTGTCTTCTCTTCAGTAGAGGTGAAGGTCTATGCGTGTGGAATGGCACTCTTAGCTAGTTATTATGTATCCATTATTTTGTCTGTTATACATCTGCTCTTAGAAATGGCAAGGCTAAACCAGGAGTCTAGGTGCACGCCTGTAATCCCAGTGGCTCAGGAGGCTGAGGCAGGATGATCACAAGTTCAAAACCATTTAGTGAGGCCCTCAACAACTTAGCAAGATCCTGTCTCTAAAAAAATATATTAAAAAGGGCTGGGGATGTAAGTGTCTCTGGGTTCAATCCCTGGTACCAAAAAAAAAGGCAAGGTTGAATGATCTCTCATCCTAAGCTGTATGACAAACTATGCTGATCTTTATTCTTTTTTAAAATTTTGTTTATTTTTTTAGTGTTATTATTCATTTTAGCAGAAAAGTGGAAGAAAGGGCATTAACTCTTGACATGTGATTAATACAGCAGTTATTTATAAATGAACTAAAAATATTTAACCACATCAGAGCCAATTAATTTCCTGTTCTTTCAATTTCTAATACCGACTTTACCTTTTTAAGGTTTTTTTCTAGTTCTTTGACCTTTACCTCTAGTCATCCACTCATTCATTAATTAGTTAATTTTACAAAATATTGTTTAACCTGGAATCAAAATGCTGATTTGGCCCACTTCCATTGCCACATCTATGAGATACTCAGAAAATCACCTAAGTTTTAATATTCGCTACTGTGCTCCCCAGTGTTTGCTCCTGACTGGGATCTAATGGATCTTTGCCATATTGAATTAAGAAATCTGGAGCTGGTACCATACTTTGAATGATCTGTCACAATTAAGCCATATTTCTGCTTCATCCATGCTGTGAGTGTAGACCTGTTCTCATTTTTCTGTACTTTAATGAGATTCCCAGGAATGTACTTGCTGTTCTAGACACTTCACGTAATTACAATCAAGATTTAATAGTGTTAAATAGTTAGTGCTGTTCCCACCTCTTTGTAGTGACTTGGAGTCCTTTTACTGCTTTTGCATCATTTCTGTCCTGACGATGAAATTTCTGGTAAGAGTTATCATTGATCATAGATTTTCATTACTGTGTATCCACGTGGCCCACAGATTACATAAATTGCAGATTGACGGGATCTCTATGTTTGGAGAACATAGAGACTTGTGCTTGGCACTGGGTCTTGAATAAGTCTCTGAGGCATCAGTCTTGGAGATCCCTGATCCATGCAGTGGAGGTCTTGGAGAGCAGGACCCTTTGTTTGTCTCTCTGCTCCTTTTCTGCACCCTCTTTGCTGCCTTGCCCAGTTGTCTTTAATATGGAATTGTAATACAAGAAGGATGAAAACCCCTAAAGACTCCAAATGCAAACAGAACAGGAGTTCCCTGTGTTGGTGTTTCAGAATGAAAAATAATAGTGAAACTCTAGGCAATGTCCATAGCAAGTTTGCTAATTGCCTTTATCATTTGGGTTTGGAAATTTAAAGTTGTACATACCATGTGGTTTTTCATGATTTGATTTTTTTTTCCTTTTTCTTTTACCAGGTTTCACCAAAACTCATGCCAATGCAGCAAATCACAACTTGAAATATGGAGTAGACGTTGGCCCCAGGCTGCTAGTTTTTCAATTTAAGCACAGAGGATTTAATTGAAAGAATGTCAGGATCATAATTGTATATTTAACAAGCAGTTTTTGACTAGTTTTTGTCTGGTATTTCATGATTTATGCAGCCATATAGATTTTGTTCTCTCAAGTGTACTATGATACTTTAATGAAAAACAAAAGGAAAACATTTATGATTATCTTATTTTCTAAGTGCTTAGAAGGTTGTCTTTACCATTGGTGCTCACATTGGATGTATCTTTTTCATGTGTGCTATGCTAAGTTATATGCAGTATTTACTAAGATGGGCCCTAGGAAGAGTTTCATTGGTATGCTTTCCCTTATACCTCAATTATGGTTTAGTACTTGTGAAAGAAAAATAATATGTATGTGATTAGGAAGAATACTATCTTCATGATTGTTTTCCCTTCAGGCTCCTCTGATTTTTTGCCTACGGTCTGCCCAGACCATCCTCCTTCCTCCCATCCTTCTTGTAGCTAAATAGATACCCAAGAAAACAAGCAGGGATGTCTTTGGCAGAAGAAGTAACTTGTTTGTGGGAAAGACCAAAAGGTGTAGGATCTATTGCTGTTGACATACCATCAAGAAGCTGCCGTAATAGACAACTAACCATCCATCTGTGCTTTGCCAAAGGCTAAGCTAACTATGGGAAGAGGGCTAGAAACCTAACTGATCTGCTAGGACAGTTTTCTCTGTTTTAAACAGTGCACTATTTCTTTCTATCTAGTTGGATCCTTAAGATTACTTCCCTGTTACAGAGGCCCAGTGGACTACTTATACAATACCTCCTCCTAGGTCAAGAAGAATTGTGGTAATTTGTCATGAGTCCTTAATCACAGTGACAGCAGAGTTAAAAAAAATAAAATAATAAAAGATACATTTTTTTTAGGCTCTGATTTCTGCTCAGAAAAGTTTCTAAATATTGAATGACTTTTCTACAGAGCAGTGGTTTTTCTGCCTAAGCTACTTCCTTTAATAAAGTACTTTTAATTCAGCCATAATCAAGCTGGGGAAATAATGATGGACAAACCTGAGATTTGAAGAGATGGTGAATTTTTAATGTCAGGGGATAGACATGGCAGATTAATCTTGTAAAGGACGTTTCTTCAGAGGTTTCCTCAATACCAGGGGGATTGCTTCAGAAGTATCCTGGGCATCTGATGGGAGAAAGTCTAGACACCCTGAAACCAGTCCAGACAGCAGGTCTCTGGACAGAGGAAGGCAGAATACCATGCAATATATCATTCCTCTGGAAGGAATTTATGCACGTTTTTAGGTGATGACTGTTATTGGAACTCACTCCTCTTCAGGTATGCCTAGAATTGTGTTATGTACAATATTCAAGGAAGAAGAGAGATTTTTTTGTGAGTAGCACACTTTGCACAAAAGACAGCCTTTCTGGCTGACTGCATAGTACTTTTAAAATAAATCTTAGAATGTACAAGTTCCACTGAGAGTAATATTTATCTATATTAGAGTTATGATTTAGAAAAAAGTTATGTTATTGATGGTTGTTATATGTTCAAACTTACTTGTTTATCATTCCAGTCTGTTACTTTAACATGATGTGATTCTAAAAAAGTTCTAAACATTGGCAAAACTTAAATAGATGTTTTAATATTCTTGATCAGAGAGTGTACTATAATGTTAAGAACTGCATTAAGAAATACAATAAAGATTCCAAGTTGATAGAGATCAGTGTACTTGTCCTGTTTCTCACTTGGGGATGATGCAGTTAAAGATGTGAATTATGCAATAGAGATGTTGTTGGAATAGCTAACGGTAAAGGCATCCATTATCACTTTTAATCAAATTGCTTCTTTTCTCTTTATCTTACCAAAGAAGAGATATTGTCCTTCTAAAACAAGCAAATGAATCATTACCTAACTAAAGTCCACACCTTGTTCCTAGAAAAATAATGAAGTTTTCATGTGTTAATTTTTTTGCTCTCACCTAATATTTTCCTTTATGATAGACATACATTAATTAATTTCCCAGTAGTTTGTTGAGTTTTGTTGCATTTCGGAGTGTCTCCTGTTTGCCTAGCATCTATCTGTGTTTACTCTCTAGAAACAGACTTACCCCCTGGCTAAAGGAGTGGGCAGATTCCCAGGATATGCCACTTCTGATACCTCTCCTCTGTCTACTTTGCTCATTCCCAGATATTAGCACATGATCCAGGATGTACCATTTAGATTATTTCTACAACATTTAAAAACAATAAATGAGAGAGAAGTCAGTTTTCTTACTCTTCTTTGGCCACAAAGCTAAAAGAATTTGTCTGGTTTTAATACCCACTCTCATTATTCATGCATACACACACACACACACACACACACACACACACAACCAACCAGCTTAGCTAATGTTGGAAATAAAGAATCTGGCACAAATACACAAGAGGTATAGGGAGGAATCATCCTGGTGATTTGGATTTCATGTTTTAGTGCAAGTAATATTATGGTTTAGCATTTTCAGAGATGTTAGTCTTTTTGCAACCAAATATATTCATTACATCTTAAAGAACCACAGTGGAAAACAGTATATTCTCCCCATTTTAAAGATGGAGAATCTGAAAACAAAGTTTAGAAACTTAAGACAATATTCCCCCCATCCATGTCTATACATGAGCCCACAGATCTCCCTTTGTGCTTGAGCTAGTTCTTTATCACCTGCAGCCACAGTTCTGATAGGGACCTGTTCTTCTACAGAAGTTATACGTAATATGAGCACAGGTGCTTATACCTGGGACTAGAGAATGCACAAAAGAGCATTTGTGGGTGTTACCAGTGGTAGAAAGTTTCTTGGTAGAGAATTTTTTTTTCTGATCTCAGTATATGCATCACAAGGTTGGAATGGTATTCCATTAGAAGTATATAAGCAGACATTTAATCAACGTATGGCTTCCTTTGGCACTTTTCTGCTTTTTTCTTACAGGAATGATTTTGAGTTCCTAAAGCTTATTTTCAGATTCTCCATCTTTTAAATGGGGAGAATATGCTGTTTTCCACTGTGGTTCTATAAGATGTAATGAATCTGTTTGTTTGCAAAAAGACTGACATCTTTTGAAAATGCTATACTATAATATTACTTGGGACAGAATTGTCCATTATTCCTTTCTGTTTATTTTTCAATGTTTTATGTCACCTGCCTACAAGAGGCCATTTTGCATATCAAACAGAGTTTAAGCATAAACACCAATAAATATAAAGTGATCTGAGTGAACATCTGTGACAGGTATTTGAAGTCTCCTGCCTGCAGCAAGTCAGACATGTTTCTGTCAAAATAATTCAAAGATCAATGTTGCTTTGTGGATCACACAGCAACTCCCATGAGACTGATGCTTACATCAATCTAGGTAACTAACTGATAAGGCAATTCCTTATCAACATCTCAAATACAAATCATGTTTGGTCATGAAGATTAAATATGAAGGGCTGGGGTTGTGGCTCAGTGGTAGAATGCTTACCTATGTGTGAGGCACTGGGTTTGATCCTCAGCACCACATAAAAATAAATAAATAAAATTTATTGTGTCCACATACAATTAAAATAAAATAACTTTTTAAAAAAGATTAAATACGATTCATTATGGTCATCATGACTCTGAGTGGGGTGCTCCTACATTCTGGCTCTTCATAGCAGGACCCATAGTCGTATCAGTATTTCTACTTACAAACTATGGGATACCAGTATCCCACTCAGTCATTTTCTATCTGATTCATTTGTTAGAAGCTGGGCATTTCACCTTCTACCCTTAAAAAGTTTGGGGGAGGTAATTAGCTCCACAAATATGTGTAAAACCCTGATGTTACCTTGTAAGTCCCTTTTTATGATTTAGGGGTTTAGAGATTGCCTCTCCCACTTTGTCTTCTTGTGGTGGGAATGCTCAACACTCTACATCCCTGCAAAGGCTGCTTTCGTCTCCAGCTCCCAGCTCTGGTGCACCCTCAGTGTAGGGTATGAGTTTAGTAGTTGTCTTACTGATTCTTGGCCACGTATTTCAAAATCAGTGCACAGTGATGAGGTGCTTGTTTTTGTTTTAGATGTTATTTAGGTAACAACTGCACGACTGGCCTGTGGTAGATTTCTGAATACATTCATTCAATCAATTTACTAGTTGAGAACCTGGGTTATAAGAGGCCAGGCTTAGAGGATTCCCCTGAACTAAATAGTTAGAAATGATCTCTTAGGAAGAGGCAGGGAAAAAAAGAGGTGCAAAATGGAAGATGTAATAAAGAGAACTGTAATAATCACCTCCATTGGTTTAACACTTTATAATTTATAAAACACCCAGAATATGCTAGCTAGCTTATTTGATTTTCACAATTACCTGCCAGAGAGACATTATTACTTCCATTAAAATTAACTTGATTAGTCTGAGAGAAGTAATGTCCGCCAGTTATTTAATCAAATTAGCCTTTCAGGACTAATGGTGGATTTTGCCAAGGTAGTTAATGAGATGTGAATTAAATCCCCTGAATAGAACTAGATTTGTTGCTCTCTGGTAAGCCATAAAACAGAGTCCAAAACCTTTAAACCTAATGGGACAGGTATTCAAATTTTGTTTCCTCTGTCCACACAGCTCTTTTGTACAACCCAGTTTAAAAAGGATTAGGTTGCTATCAAAACAAAAATGATAATGCGGGTCACCACCAGGAAGAATGTTCCTGTGAAAGACTCATAGTTACCTGGATTTGCTCCCACAAAAGGCCCTGTGTAGGCAGCCACATGCAAGGAGGCTCACTTGACCCCAGCAGGAAGGGTTGATAGATATTGCTTTATTTTTGCAGCTTAACACCTTCGAAATTCAGCTCCCCTGGCATTAACCTTTACCAATTTTCACAGAGTTGTATCTCAGACTCATACTGTTGAGCCCTCAAGATAGGCTGATATTGGCAGCCTGAAATATCACTGGTGACATGGAGAAAGGATCACTCAGCAAGATCTTGTACCATTACCTCCACCTCCACTAGGAAGAACAGGATCCATGGAAAGAGGAAAATTCATCACAGATCTGGAGTCTGGGGAGTGGGAGGGGGTGAGGAGGCATTAGGGCTCAGCAAATCACATACCATATGAGAACATTTAAGTGTTATTGTCACATTTATTTGAATATGACACCATTAATTGTAAAATGCACTATGATTGTGTTTGGTTTCTTAGTAGCTTGAAATTTTATTGTCTATATTGAGATTTTTTTTCTAGACTTCCCCTTAGTCCCAGATGAATTTGTAAAGTATTCCCTGCACACTTAAAGCAAAGAAGGGTCATTCATGAATGATTTCTGCAGCTGATAAGAATCATAAGTAGTTAATGGCCTGAGAAATCCACCAGTTTTGAAGTTTGTACATTTGCAATCCAAGGTCGACTTGGTGACAAGAGGGGTCAAGGTGGCAAATAGGTCAGAAGACAGGTGGGAGGGTAGATAGGAGCAGGTGCCTGTCTTGTCCTCTGGAGCTAGAGGGCAGCCAGAACCTGAAGGCATTGGTGAGATGTGTCTCAATTTTGAATACTTTAAAATGTGGGATGTTCATCTTGGAATCAGTAAACTTGAAGTGGTCCTTCTAAGGGCTTTCTGGATAGCATAAAGTCTGGTTTAAGATTTTTTTTTTTTTTAAATATTACCACTTTGAAGTACATATAGTACTGAATGCAGAAGAAAGATCCTTAGGGACCTACTACAGATAAAAAGCAGTTGATAAATTTATTAGTGTGTATGTTAGTGTTTAAAAACAGCTATACACCAGGGTAGGGTATAGCATATGTGAGGCACTGGGTTTGATCCTTAGCACCACATAAAAATAAATAAAAATAAAGGTATTGTGTCTATCTACAACTCAAAATACTTTTAAAAGAATAAAACAACTCTCCCAAGCACTCTAAGTGTTTGAATATTTTCATCGTGATCTGCCTTCCAGGTGTGTCTCTGTGTCTTCCTATTCTTCCCCCCTCACCACCATCTTTTCTGAATGCACAATTTTGATCTGAGTCCTATGTAAGTGTACTCTGTGAAGAAATTTAAATATTGTAATTAAAGATATTTAACAGATCACAGACACTCAAATACATAAAGATATAAAAGACCAAATAAAGCATTGAAAAGGATATTTCCATTAAATAAGTAACACCAAATGCCATATAAGACTGTCAGGTAGTAAACCATACATTTAGGATGGATGTGACCACTTTGAAGAAAGCTCAGGAAGATGAAGAATTAAACATGATAAAACTAGGGAAAGAATAAAATGCCATGGAATGTTCAACTTGCCGATGAGAAGCTTAAAAAGTGATTTAAGAATTTAAAGAATGTTATACATAACTCATGAAGAATGCCCCATATCTAAATGGAAAGAAGAAGGAAGAATTTTAGATGTTAAGAAATGTTCCTTGACAGTGAGCTATTGAAGGACAGGAATTAAATGACCTACTTATTTACTTTCTTTATTTTAAACAAATTTTATTGTGTATATTTAAGATATACAACATGGTGTTTATATGTTGGCAGGAGGTGAAGGAACGGGAGGGACAGGGGAGATATTGGGTAGTCTGATTTAAACACTGTTCTGGAATCTATTATTCATGAAATCTGGTATTCAAAGATAGTTCTACTGGCTTTGTAATCTGGATTTTGGGTAGACTTATCAACTCTTTCATCATGCCAGGAAACCTATCAGCATATTCTTGGCAAACAAT